TGTAAACTTTAAAAGGTAGGTAGCATACAAATTTTTTTAAAGAACACATTTTGAGAGGGGTCAGTACCCAACTTTAAAGAGTTTGACTGGACTGTCTAAGAAGTTAAATATTCAGTGCCTGTGGTCTGTATTTGTTACCTAAGGCTTCTTAATCAGCAGAAGAAGGCAAATGATACCCTGCAAATGTTTCTAGCATGCAGCTTTGCTTATCTCCCTGTATTAATGATCCTTATGGCAGCTGTTATATTAACCTTATCACATAGTACAGCAGTAAGGGAAAACTATTGTGAAGGATGGAAAAAAAACCATTTTGTTTAATCTCTGGGAACTTTTTTGAGCTTAGCAATTTTCTGATTGTCAAGGGTGGAAAAAAAATGAAAGTTAAACTTTTACTGAGTTTATTTACAATCTCAAAGAAGCAACTGGACATTTCCAAATGGTTGATTCAGTAAATATCGTACGGTTTGAAGAGGACACAGATTAAATTATCAACTAAATGCTCATTATGTGAGTTCTGGGTTTCACGGGGTCCACTAGGGAACTCCCACCAGGAATCAGAAATTGGCTCCTGAGAAAGGCAGTCTCTCCATCAGGGCTCAGAACTGCTCATTTGTATGACATTACCAAAAAAACCTTCCATTTGCCCCTTGTAAGACTTCTATCTCCTTCTTCATACAGTCTCTGTGTGCACACAGAGGAAATGTAGAGGCTCTGTCTTTTAATCCCTCTTTAACTTGGATAATACCAAACCTGACCCTGACACCATTCTACCTTCTCTTCTCTCATGGTGTTGAGAAATCACTTAACTCAATGATTGCAATTAATGTTTTGTTCAACTACAAATGCTTGAGCTCAACCCACATACTAGCAGAGTGAACACAAGCCCCTTCCATTCCCTCACCTAGGTAATATGCTTTTTCATTTTTTTTTCATTATCCCTTTAATGCAGAGCAGGGCTCCTGATTAGCAAGAGGCAGTTTGACTCCAGCAATAGGTCTTCTTCACTAAGCCTCACTGTCATGGAAATTCCAGCTGCTACAAGAATAAGAGGCTCAATCCATATTTGCCAGCTCTAATATGAAATCTGTCAGAGCCCAAATTAATGAGTTCCAAATTCCTTACATCACGATAACAGGTTAAGACTGGTCAATTAATTACATAAATCCTTCCCGATTCATTGTGCGTTTGCAGCCCAGATTGTGTCTTACATTACTCCATGACACAAGGCCTTTTGGCTCCTGTTGTTCCGCAGAAAGGCCCCATTTAAGTGGAGGCTGCCTGCCACGGCAAAATGTTAAATGTCACACGTTAAATTTGCACTTTTCTGTAATTGCTTTTGTTAAAAAAAAAAAAAAAAAATTAAACGAAAGCACAGGGCTCCCAGTAAACCGCTATGCAGACTGCTGGGATTGTACTGCCTGGATCCCAGGGCAGGTCAGCCTGTATTTTACCTCAAACAGTTAGCACATGCTCCCCGATGCTGGTCCTCTGTAAGCACTGGAACCCAGAACGTGCGTATTTGTGAAAATAAGCCAAGTTTCCCTAAGATCTAAGATTCTTTTCTTTATGAAAGGATTAAAATAGGATTCTCTACATAGCCAGCTTCCCTTGTCTACCAGTAAAACTATGGAATATCTTAAACACTGTTGATCCAAGCACCTTTCGGAAGTATGTCCATATTGTATTTGCACAGGCCTTTGCCTTCAAAAAAAAAAAAAACAAAAAACAAAAAAGATATTCCGGATGGCTTTGCTATTGGGATTTGTCCCTGTAACACACCTACAGAGAGTGGATTAATTGAGGACCTCAAAATCAACCAGGCCAAATTTTTCCTTTTTAAAACATCACAATGTGCTTGGAATCACAGCTAGTTAGAATTCAACCTGGATGTTCAAGATTCCTAGCGTGGTCTCTCACCTCACTACATTTCTCTGTGGACTTTTATGCACTGGAAACGGTTCCAGTTGTATTTCCTGAACCATCTTATTGCGGGATAGCGGTTCTGCGAATACACAAGCGAGCAAATGATGCTCCTAAGTACAACGACACCTACGTAGGGAGCAGGTTCTTTCTACTTGGGAGCCCTAACACCACTCCCACTACGCGGGGAGCTCGCCAGACCCAACCAAGGGCGCGATCTGCAGATGGCGGCTGCAGCCTCCGCACTGGCCCGGCAGCGCCCCCTCCTGTCCTCCGGCGGCCTGGCA